GTCTATCCCAAACACCAATAAATGAATAAAATATCTACTGTGAAAAATCTACCATTTTAGAAGCTGTCAGGATGCAAATTATCTATTTTGAGTCTTAAGAAAACTTTTTTGCCCATGTTGATTGTAACTTTGAGTCTATTTTCTGAGATCTGTATTTCTCTGAAGGAGGAAGAACAAAGATTTGGTGAATGAAAGCAGGAAGAAACCTAAAATTAGATTATGTTGTTGCATCAAATGGAATTAGAAACATTGAGCATGTATAAGGACCCTAAGAATATTATTAGGCAGTAATCTAATTTTGAAAGTCCTTAAGTCTATTTCTCAGAAGCAAATAAAATGAAAAAGCTATCCCCTCCCACATGATTGCTATAGCACAGATGTGAATAGAAAAAGTGTCCTTATATTTCTGTAGCTGATTTAAACCTTTTCAAAATCCACTATCCAGGTGCTGAGAGGAAAGATTTAAACTTTTCAACTAACTAGATATTAATCTTTTCTGCTTTAAACAGTCCACCCTTTAGTAGGTGCTTAGATATTCCGCTCCCTCCTTTCCGCTCCTCTTCCAGTTCAAGAGCGTGTCTGGATACGCTGCAGAGTGGCTAACTTTTTGCTCATGATAACGTGGAATCAGGATTTTGGATCCAAGTACACTGCTACTCTCTGGGTCCATTCTGGCTTCTGATGATGGTTTTCTTCATCCTCTCATAACTGTTCTGCCTGCAGACCTATGATGCTAAAGTCTTCAGACACTGAACTTGTGACCTGCTTTCTCAGCTTGGTCCAGAAGTCGTGGCTTTCCCTCCTGCCTCAGGTCTACCTCAGCTCCTGCTGGCACTACCTACCTATTCCTTGGAAGTCTCTCTGCAACATTTGCCTGTGTCCTGTTCCTCCTTGTAACAATTAAGTCTTGCCGTAATGACCTAACTCAGGGCATGCTAAGGCTACAGCTTACACCTTCTCATCTCTTCCACATTCTTGCACAGAACTTGAGGGAACATCTGTGTATCTTCTACATAATGTGTGATTGAGGCGGGGGTACTCCCATGAGCTAATCTCAGGCTGGTGTCTTCCTATACAACTACTGACTTTACTCTGATGAGCCTGTTCATGTTGGCCACCCCCCTAACCCATGAAAATGTCCTCAATGTCATAAACGATGACCCAGATTTTTAAAAAAATAAAAAAATCTGTGTTCTAACTTGCTTCAGCATTCAGAGACTTGGGGGCAAGAGTGGGAAAAGGAGAGAAGAAATGTCTGTATGTAAATCTTACCACATTATCCTCACAATCCACCCAAAGATGGAATAAGTAGGTTTTCTATTTCTTCTGTCTAGATGAGATTTCTCTTTATGTCTATTTCTTTCTTTCTTGAAGTGATTTTCCTCCTGCATACTTCCCTTTATTTATGTAGTGTCTACTATATGCAAGGATTGTTCTAAAAGCTTTACAAAAATTAACTAATTTAATCTTTGTAACAACCCACAAGATAAACACTATTATTACCCAGCTTTACAGATAAAGGATTTAGCCAGGTAGTAGCATAGCCAGGATTTGGACCCATGTGGTCTAGCTCAAATCTAAGATTACTCACTATGCTATACTTCTCTGTTAGGTGGTTAGGCAGAATGAGAAAACATGAATTACATATGAGTGTTGTGTTCATTAATTTAATATTTTTGAAATATTATTTAAGTTCCTTTTTTGTTAAGTTATCCAAATGAATGGGAGGATCTGGGAAGACTATAAATTCCATAGATGGTGAGAGATGAGATAGAGGATAAATCCACAGTATAAAAAAGAAGTAGTGTTAACTTAAACAGGTAAAAAGAATATGTAAATAATATTGAGAAATGATCCATGGACTTAACAACAAAAAGGCTCATTAGGGTATTTATTGGTAAACTAAAGTTTGAATCCAGGCCTTGTATGTTTAAATTTTCTCCTTTTTCTATTACTCATAACTTTTTCCTTATGAATTTTGCCTTTCATTTCATATACATTTCTCAAGTGGTCATTTCACCTATTTAGATTCAAGTGCTTGCCCTTTGTCTATGTGAGAAGATGGAAATAGGTTCATTAATGATTTAGCTCTTACATACTATCTAGGCATAACTTTCCACTTCCTGACCCCACCCCTCTCCATTGCATTTTATGAAAATGTGAAATTGAATTATCTGTAGCTTTTAAAAAATACATAATTTGATTCTCTTATATGTCTGACCTTTGCACAAAATGATCTTTCTGCTTGACTGGCATCCTCCTGAATTCTCTTTGTGTCTCCTTGTTTCTCATTGTATGTAAAGACTTGCCTCTTTGACCACTTTCTATTATCTTTTAGGCATCACTCCTGTAAAGAATTTCTTGGCTTCCAGAGAAAGTTTCTGTGGTTTTTATTTTTTATTTTTGAGAGTGAAAGTAGGTACTATTAAAATTGCAGTAGTAAAACACATATAACCAATTCCATACTGGCTTGCGAAAGTGAATTACTAAATTTTCAAAAATTTGGCAAGCTGGCTATTAAGTCATCAAGAGCTTGAAATCAACCATGCTGGCAGTATTTATATCACAGAAATCTGCAACACAACAAATTGTTTTCTTTGTTTTGTTTTATTTATTTTTCTAGAGATGTGTTTACTAGCACATCAGTGGAAATAACACTGTCTATAGTTTGAACATATGAGTATAAAATGAATATATACTGGACATAAAATGAGTATGTACTGAACATAATTAGGCTAAATTAGGCAAGCAATTAAGGTGATGTCATATTCTTCATATTTTTACCTACTTTATAAAAAAACTATTTTATTTGTTAAAAAAAGTTCCCTAAATTCAGACTTGAGCTTTAAGGGGGAAAAATCTGTATTCTGAAGAAAGAGGTCTGTGTTTATATACGCCATTATCAGCAAATGGCACAGCAATAGGGGCTGGGAAAATTGTAGACCTTTACAACCTGCCTTTGATTAATGACTTAATTAAAGTGGGATTAATATAAATCTTTTGGCAAGAAAGAATGCTAGTGAAAGTAGAAAATATTCTGACAGTCTATCCTTCCAGCAGACATTGTAGGAGGCATTGATAACAGGGCAACAGAGTCAGTGTAAAACACTTGAAGATCTCCTGGAGAAAACGCTAATGTTTGCAAGCTATGTAAGAAGAAACTGGAAAGCAAAGAAATAAAATTTGAATGACTACAACTCAGCCAATATATCATATAATGTTCTTTTTATAAAGACCCTTAGGAAAAATTTCTCTCAGGTTTTGATAACAGGCAAAGCTGACTTCTCTTCAATAATTGTTTTCTAACTTTATGCACACTATGAATCTTGTAACTAATCCTATTTTCCTTTTTGATCTGACAGCTGGGGAGATTAGAGCTATATTTGTGGCCTAAATAACTAATGTATAGAACCATGGGTGCTTACGTTTGGATGCTAATCTAAGCTCTGCATTTACTCTTCCCCTATCTTTATTTTCCCTTTGTCTCATTCTTTCAACCTTATTTCTTCTTTTGTACTCTATGCATTTTTATAAATCACTCTAAGACCTTTTTGTTCTGAAATGGGGTATAAATAAACAACACAGGCAGGAGATGAGCACAGCAGCTGGCTCCGCAAAGCACAGTTGCACTCGTAAATCTTGCTTGTTTCAAGGGAATATTGGGCCCATTATTTCAGCTTCTACTCAAAAGGCCCTGGGACACTTGCATCCAAACTAATTTTGTAGTTATGGAAACTGAATCAGAGAGTTTGGGATGTGACTGATGTAATATAGCAATGAAGGAACTGCTAGAGCCAAGATTTATCCTCCAAGCTCCCTAATAGATACAAACATTGGAAAATGACTAGATAATCATGTGTTGGTAGGTAGGGCCCAAATTATTTCCACCCTGTTGTCAAGACCAATGGTTCTTTGGGTAAACTTGTCTCCTAGTTGCAAGAACCTGATATTAACCTAATGATGCAATTTACATACTTATTTCTAGCCTATACTTATTACTCACCAAACAAGTTATAGTTATGATATTTTAACTATACATGTTAGCATAAGTCTTTAAAGTTTAATTGTAAAAGTTATACAGTATGCATAACTTACTTTTATATCTACTTTTAGGCTCCTTCTTCCCCCCTCAGTACTCAAAAAAAAAAAAACTGCCTTGATTTATATAAATAACCCATAATAATTAAAAATAAAAAAATAAAAAAACAATTTGAATGAGTGTCTATACCTTGGGAAAAATATGTATTCTCTAATATTGATGATTAATTCAATAGTATAAATAAAATATGACATGTAGAAGTTAATAAAAGCAATATTTTAATACTGATACTGTTTTATTTATATTAATTTAAATATGTCTATGTAACTAAAATAATTTAAACATAAGTAGATATTGACCTATTTATATATATTTAAGCTAGCTAAAAATGCTTCTTTTTCTCTTCATTGGACTATAATTGATATTTTTATACCACGAGAATTCAGATTCTTTTATAAAAGATAGGAAGGTAACAAAATCTGCTTGGGAATAGAAAGCCAAGGGGGTATGGACATACAGAGTCACAAATATTGACATTTTCAAACCACCTTTTGTCAGTATGCTTATTTACGTAAATCATGCTGTTAGGATTTGAGAAAAAGAACAGCTAAGCATAGGCTAGATTTTGATAAGATCCTAGTCACTTTCACAACAAATCCAAAAGAGTCAGCTTTAATTCACTATATTAAAGATGTATTTCGGGTAAGTACCTAAATGGAGATGTGACAAATTTTAGGACAGACGTCTCAATATTTCCCTGTATTCACAGATACAAAACCACCGAATAGTCCTGGTAGCCCAGGCTTTGTGTGATGCTGTTTTTAACACTGCTTTTCTTTTCTTTCTTTTTTTTTTTTAATTACGCAAAAGCCCAATTCAGAACACAAAAAATACCATAGATTTCTTTTCTCTTTAAAAAACATACTTTTATTAGTATGATGGGGAAAAAGCTGGATTTTCTTATGACTTAGAATATCTACTATGTAAACCGTGTCAATAAGATTTATACTGCCATTTAGCCAATAAAATATCAAAATCTGGCCAAATCTGTGAAGAAGATCATGAAGGCAAATTTGCAATCTTTTATTCTCTACATATATCATTATAGAGTTGGCAAAATATGTTCAGATTAAGTATCTGATTTTATCTCTTAATCGAGGTGGACTTAAATAGTTGTTATTACTATTTTCTAATAGAATAAACTGTAAAATGATGTGCACAAGGTTACATAGAGACAGGGCTAGAATTCATTCATTCTGTTTAATCTAATTTTCCTCAACAACTGTTTTTGCAAGGAGGTGTGTTGGACACTAGAAATACATGGATGGACACAACTTTACACTAGGTAGAGCAGAAGGCAAAGGGCCAAGAATTCTGAGTTCAAGATTGTTGTTTTGGAAAATTTATTCCTCTCAATCCTGACTGTTTGACCATAAAAGACAATTGAAATTAGTAAATCATCAACTGCATTAGAAAGTTAAGCAAGCTGCATGTGGCCAGAGAAATAGGAGCACATTTGACATAGACAGATAGATAGAGCTATCGATATAGGTATATGTATATAAATTATGAGTCTCTGAAACACTGGGCTCAACTATGTTGTAAGATACATAATGTAACTTCAGGTTGACTATACTTCTTGCAACATTTATGCTGTCATTTAGCATTTCTATGAACATAACTGCCTGATTACATGTGAAAACTTTTGTGTTTATGTGATTATAAATTTTTTATGTAAATGAATATGTGGTATGATAGGAAAGAAACACAGTTGTGACTCTTCTTAGAACTTGGTGGGACAAGTACATGACAGAAGTAACAAGAGACTGGATAGGAGTTTTAAAATACACTTTCCTCCTCATTGTACTAAGATAAGAGTTTGCAGAGCAGACTTTTCTTTTTATTATTGAGTTGAAATACTAAACATATAAATGGGAAAATAGTTACTGACTTTTGTCCCCAACTGGTAGAATAATGAAAATTCATTTTTTCAAATGGAAATTTATTTTTGAAACATCGTCAACATTGTGTAGTGAATAACAATGCATTTTTACTTAAATTTTCTAATTCAGATTCTTCATACAGTAACATAAATATTTGTTAAGGAAGAACAGGTGTTTGGATAAAGAAATAGGGAAAGCAGTGAATGTGTTCATAATTTTTTCAACTATAGACAATGTCCAAGTCTTCCATACATGTGCTTAACTTACCATAAACTTAAAGCAGATTGCAATGAAAGAATACCAATCTAAAAGTAAAGATTATTATGATAGAGATGAAAGTCAACTAATGTGATAACAAGAGAAAAAAATAGAACAAAAAAATTCACATATCGTTTTGAAATAGGGAGAAACTATCAATAAAAAGTAGAGATACTCAATATTATTTTGAACCTATCCCTCAACCTTATCACTATGTTATTTGCAGGCACCAATAGGCATCTGCCCTGAGAATAAATTTTAGCACTTTCTGCCTATTTTACTAATTAATTAAAGTGGTATTGAAGTCCCACTTAAGGTATAAAGTGCAGAAGGTGAAGCAGAGCAAGAGAAAAAGCGAGGCTCATGAAATCAAAGAAGAAAAAAGTCTTCACTCAAGAATCAATATTCAATTATTTCTGGCTCTATGATACATAAAAGTTATGAAACAATATTTTAATAGTAGCCACCATATCTCATTTAGAAGAACCACTTAGAGTAAATAACATGTTTTAACATTCCTGCTAACAATGTAGTCTCATAACATGAATGATATATCTCATATAAAATGCAAGGCAAATTTTTTTCCCTGTATTTTAAAAAGATGCTCTTGGCCAACCTACAGTTGTAATTCTATGAGAACTCCTGGAGTATGTAATTAATGAAAAAGACAAGTCTAGAAAGATATTAGCATTTGTGATTCTATGGTTGAGTCACAAATGTCCTATGTCACCTTGACCATATTTACTCATTCTTTCCCTTAATGACAAGACCTTCTGAAAGCAATAGGTTTAGCGATATTATAGTCATTTATAAGTTTGTTCTCATCTTAATCAGCCAAGATCTGCTGTTTCTTCTGCCTGATTGAAAACAGATGCTGATTGAGAACAAGAAAAAATTCCTATGCCTTTCTCAGAAGAAAAACCACCAGTGTCTTTATAAACATAGAAACATCATTTATATGAAGTATTCTTAAGATTAAACATACTTAGGTTGCACAATTTTAATCCTGAGTCATGGATTTATGGATAGTGGAAGTCCTATCAAAGTAACTATTTAATTGGTCCAGACTTATTTGGTCAGTAATATTTTTACTACTGTGCATACTTTACTCCAAAATATACTCACCAAATATTTGATTTGGTTGCTCTGCATAAGTCCTGCTTCTCTTTATACTGTCTCCATTAACTAAGGGATAGACTAACTTCATGATTTTTTATTTTTTACTGAAAGGATTTTTTTTACTTGAAATTGCTGAAATGTGTCTTCTCTTGTAAATTTTTTTTGTTTTCTTATAAAAATTGTACTTTAAAATACAGTGACATATATCAGAGCATTTGTCTTCTGCCAACATCAGATTTCCAAAACAGTGCACATATCCCAATAGTGACCAAAGAAATCTTCTGAGAATCACACAATTTTTGCTTGTATCCACCTACCTGATCCCCATCTCAGGTTTAGTGATTTTTAAAATAAGAACAAAACAAAGCAAACAAATAAAAACCACAAACTTTTTCATGAGGATATTAGAAGATACAGACTGAAAGAAAAACTTTGAGAAAGGCACAACAACATAAATATCACAGCTGGAAATTAAAGGCAGAAAAATTATATAAAGCTGTATGCAAAGGGAATATCATGGGATGCTATTGAGATGGCCTTGGAGCATCATTAAATTATATTCAGTGATCTCTGTTTGAGCTAGTATGGAAATATAATATTCTTAATCTAATTTCTATACAAAATATTTTATACTAAAAACAATTACTTTGGCGCTTGGAGGAGTAAACCCTGGAATTCAATAGTATAGATCATTGCTTCTCAAAATTTAATATGCATATAAACCACCTCAGGGTCTTATGAAAATGTGAACTCTTATTTAGTAGTAGGCCTGGGGATATGGGCCTGATTCTATGTTTTTAATGAGCTCCCAGTTAATGCTGATAGTTTTTCTAGCAAGGGTATAGGATGTATTAATTTTCAATAAAATTAGGTAAATGAGATGTTACTGTATTGGATCCCAAATACTTTTGGAAATCTGAAATAAAAAATATACTATTCATATAAGTTGGCAATTTTATGTTAATGCAATTCATTCACTTTGGAAAAAAGGAAATAGCATATAACAAACTATTTTTAAAATGTGAAACATGTAAGGGAGCATAAATAATATTGCATTATTCAATCCTTCAACCATATAATATGCATGCATGTGAGAATTTCATTAAAATCCGAACTTGGTCAATATTGTGCAAAATTTGAGGTGAGCTATACCTATATCATACTCAGTCATATTCAGTAGAATTCTGAATCTCTTAATCTATATTGTTTCATTCTTTTTACATCTGGAAAGTATGCAACACACAAGGCAATTTTTTAAAAAGAATATTATGTTTTCACTTCTGTTAATGGTGAAAGACTGTGCTTTGTTCAATGGTAAAAAATCAAGAATGTGTTCCTTGATTTAAAAATGCCCAGGCAATCACATTTTTCTGGCTCTGGACTTTAAGTACATCAATATGTGTGCACTAAAATATTCTATAAATAAACTGAAAATGAAAAAAGTTAAATACAATAATACATTTGGAATTATGGATTTATAGGCATTTTCATATTACATAAAGTCTTGACCCTGCCCAATTCCTTTATGCTGAGTTTATAAACTATTCATGTCCAATGACATTAGTGTGAGACCTACCATGTCTTCCATACTGAAACTGTTGGTTTCGATACATTATTGTCTATTTGACCTTTTCCCATTTCTCAGTACGATTTTGCTAAGGGTGAGAATTCTGTGTTGCTCCAAAAAGTTTTTTAACTTCACATGACTAAACTAAATTATCTTTTATATTTTATATGGATAGAATGTTTAGTGGGGCACTAGGGAAGATTGTAAATAATATTGATGAAAAGGGATATGAGATATGACTTCATGTGTTCCTTGAAAGGTGTGTGTGTGTGTGTGTGTGTGTGTGTGTGTGTGTAAAAATCTGCAAAATTTTATATTGGGCAGTAAGGAAAATAAGTTCATGATTTAAAGTAATTTACAGGTAATTTCCACATTTACTATTACTCTGCAATTCCATCTTTCATTTAGAAAAAGCCAGAACAGTACAGACAGCAACCATATAAACTCAGTAACTATAAAAATCCTCTAATATTTTTGACCCATTTGCCTATGGAATGCAAAATTACATGTACCAAAAAGGTTCTGTGAAGCTAGAAAAGAAGCGTAATCTATGTTAATCAACAAAATATAAATGATTACTTAGTAAATTATTTCGTTTATTAAAATGAAAAAAAAAATCAAGACCCAACAAAACAGCTAAATGTTTAAATGACATGTTATATAGTGAATTGAGAATCTGTCCAAATAGATTTTCTGGGAAAAAAAAAAACAATTATAATAATTGATACAAATGTGAGTGCAAATCTGTTCCTTTTTAAATTTTAAAGCGTATTGTTCAAAGTTTCAGCTTGTGTGCATGATATAAATTCCATACATTGTTTTCTCAGTGACAATAAAAAGCACAGTTTATTAAAAACTGAAGTAAAAATTAACATAATTTTTTTAAAAAATCAGTCACAGTTTCGTCATTGGTATATGAAGATTGTTCCAGGGGCCCATCCAAAGCTCTTCATCATCGGACTGTGTGTGTTCACTGTGAAATTCCAAAGCCTCCTTGATGTTCTTACTGTCAATCATGGACTCCTGTTCAACTGTGCTTTTCAGTCTGTTCCCCAATGGCTTCGCTGCTATACTGTCAGTCCTCACAGGGCAAGGGGCAAACGTAACCAGAGTTGGTCTTGTGTTTACTTTCTCAGTAGAAAATGGCCCCTTTGATAATGTGTTCAGGGGCACATTCTCCTCATGTGTCACTGCCAACTTGTCTAGTTTCTTAAAGTGCCTCCCCAGTTGGACAGGCGAAGAAACTTTTAAGTTATCCATGAGGCAGGCACGGCGGGTTCTCACCACAGAACCATTCTGTGCAATATATATATTGCCATTGATGTTACTGTGGATGTTAGGATTGTGAAGGCGGTTCCTCTGACATTCTGTAGAGCTCTCTTCTCCAGTTGAGCTACTTTCATACTCTCGATCGACAACTAATTTGATCATTCTTTTTCTTGCCCACTGACAAAATAAAAAAAAAATATGTGAGTTATCATCAAAAGAATTAAAAAGGCAAACATTACCAATGCCTGTGAAATCCAAAACGATAGCATTTAGAAAACTAGCAAACTTAAATAATTTAAGAGAGATAGAAGGAAGCAACTCTTTCTTAACATCAATTTGTTTTCACCAATTCTTCACTGGCTTCGGTGTTTAATAATTTTTGAAAAAAAGTGTTACTGGGCCAAGAAGTAGACATTTCAGGGAACCCATATATTTTTCTAGATAAAGTTACTGATCTCCATGAAAAAAAGTGTATTATTTATATTCATCTAAGGAACTGATCCATTGCTTGACAGCTGCTATACTATTCAGGAAAGGTAAACTGAAAGGAATGAACAGCATTAGTATATTCTGTTCATTTTAATGCTTCTATTTCTAATATTTAAAACAAATTTAAACTCACATAATCCTATTTTTTAATTTACTCTCCACTGTTAGCCAAAACTTTTGCATAATTTAATGTATTATTCACTTGAGGGACCTTTATTTTCTGGCTTATCCCACTTAGATATATGTTAACTTCAAAGAAAATATCTTCCTGACTTCCATAATTCACTTAGTAATACAAAAAGCTGAAAGCTAATTATTCTAAACTTTCCTTTTGTAAGCAAGTGGAATACAATGGACATTTTCATCCATTCATTTTCCGTTTACTAATTGACATTTAAAATGGCAAGCAGCAAAGGTTAAACAATACTGTTCTTCTCAAAAGAGTATTGCATTTGGGGGATATACAGGTATAAATATTAACACTTTATATGGAGTAATCCATGCTTTCTGATTTTTAGAAATTTTTATGTTTACTTACCCAGAAAAAATTTCACAACTGTTATAATTCATTATTTAAAATCCACTTTTACTTATACCACAACAGAAAATAAGTGGTAATGACTTTTAATTTTTAAATATTACTTCATTTAACTCTTAATATTTGAAATTGGCAGATGCAAACTTATTTGAACATGTTCACGATATCTTTGATAAAACCCTTGCCAATTGAAGTGTACATATCTGCAAAAGTAAACTATTGGAGATAATTTGTTGCAGCTTGTCCCAGTATTTATTTTGAAAGATGATATAAAAACTGTTATATATATATACACACATATATATGAATATATATATTCATCCTATCCATTCCAATAGACAAGGCATCACCGATAATACATAATGCCACATTGTATTTGCAAAATTTCACCAGAGAACAGTAAATATTGATTAGTTGATTCCACGTGTTCCAATTTAGTAATGTAAGAAGGATTAGTTGATTCCGTGTGTTCCAATTTAGTAATGTAGGAAGGATTAGTCAGTTTTAATACATTCTAATATACAAATCTATTTGGATAGTATATATATTCACTTTTATGGCATGCTTCTGATCTTAAGTCATTTCAAAATCATGATCAATTTCCTACCCCTCTAGCGGCATTTCAGAGAGCACACAGAAGGCACTGCACACAAGGGCACTCATCACTGCAAAATCCCCACCTACTGTGATCTCTTTTAAAGTGCCGTGTTGTAACCTTCAGAGTTTGCTTCTGGAGACTTCCTTTGGTTTGCCCTTTTGCTTCTGTCATACTCTGGCACCTGAAAGCCCCATGGACCTCCAGACTGACTTTCGCTACTACTGCTACTACTGCCAGATTCCGATTCAGATTCCTCCTCACTTTCCACGCCACCTTCCACTGAAGCTGATTCTACACTGCCCTCCTCAGGGACATCTTGAGCTTCAAGGCCTGTAGATTCTTCTGCAGGGGCCAGTTCACTTTCTTCTTCTTCTTCTGGGTGTTCTTCTTCCACCTCAGGTTCTGCTGCTTGTGCTTCAGCTGCTTCCTTTTTTCCACCCTTGACTTCCTTGACCTCCTCAACAATGATGGGGCGTCTTCTCGCAAGCACAATATTCTTCCTTGCTTTTTCTCCTTCAGACTCTGTAGATTCAGATTCTTCTGATTCAGGGGTAGAACTCTCCTCTTCCTCAGAGGGTGTCTCGGACTCAGATTCCTCTTCTGTGGTCTCAGACTCACTGAACTCAGATTCTTCCTCGCTGTATTCAGTGTAGTCGCTGGAGGACTCCTCCTCTGATTCCACAGTGCTTTCTGTCGCTTCATCTTGGTCCAGAGTTAGTTTCAAATAATCTTTTTCTTCTTCCTCCAGCCGTCTCTCCCACTCTTCACCTTCAAGGTCCACGATGCCTCTTTTATCAGCTAGTCCTCTAACTTTCTTAAATATCATTGGGAATATCCTGGCTCTCTTCCATGTTGTGTATGTAGGCTCAACTGCTGGTGGTTTTTCAATAGTTACAACTACTTCTTCCTCCTCACTAGGCTCTCTAATTTCAACTTTTGGTTTTATAATTTTCTTTGGCTTTTCCTGAAAATTATGAAAATGCAATTAAACTGTCAGCTTTGGGGTAGTTATGATATGACAAAAAAGGAGAGATCAATAGATCTTGGTATTCAAAGTTTATTTTGCATCTTAGAGCAAAGAAAAAAGAAATGAATAATCAACGCCTCTTCTCTCTCCTATTCCTAGAACTTTGCTTGATAGCTTTATGTATTTCCTTTAGATAAAGTCTAAGAATTTTAAATAGTCATAAACATATGATGGTTTATCATCTCCTATGAGAAATTTGACTATTTTGTTAAATTCTGAACATGTTAAAGCTACAGTGATGTTTATTTGTTGTTTTTGTTGCTGTTTTTGGATAATTTGCCAAGTAAATAAGGCAAACAAAGTATAAGAATTTGATAAAAATGATTCATGCTAGCTTAAACATAAAATTAAACATAATTCCTTCAAAAATATTAGAGGAAATATTTTATTTTTCTCTGATAATTGAAAAACAGAGATTGTATTTTTCCAGATTTTTAGTTATGCTAGATAACATGGGAACAAAAGTAGCCATGTGTTGCAGAATTTTAAAAATATATTTGATTATAATATTATCTTTATGGACCAATATTTAGAATTTTGGAAAACATAAATTTTATTGTAAGTGTTTCCAGATGTTTGACATCTTATGGAAGTAAATAAATTAAACTATTAAAAGTTAATTTTCTTTCATAGACAAGGCAATGAAACGGTAAGCATTTGTTAAATTTCTATGGAAAGCAAATGAATAGGATTTCTGAAAGCTGAAATGGTCTATGGCCTGCTTGTCATATAGGGTTAAAAAATACTGTTCTTGGCGTATTACTTCAAATAATAAAATTACCTCTTCCTCCTCATACTCCTCCTCAGCTTCACCAACCACCTCACCATATTCCTCCTGTCCAGCAGGTGGTAACAATCGGCGGCGACTTCCATATTGAGGCATTTCATACCTGTAATATAAACTTATAACTTTAAACACTCTGTCATGTCATCTGTGTAGAATCTACCATGATGAGCTCTGTTTTCTTCATTTCCTTCGGTCATTCAATCAACAAATATTTATGCAGCACCTATTAGGCTTCTTGCAAATTAGTTACAAAACTATAGAGTAAGAACTACTACCTGATGACCAATGATTTTTGTCATAATGGTGCCCTGGAATAACAACAAAGAAAGTTATTTCAGCTTTAAGTTTTGGGAGATATTAGAATGAGGAAAAAGGCATATTGCTTCTTAATTAACTAAAGAACCCAGGCCACATAAAGAGGTTCTTTCCAAAAGTGTAATAGCTCATTCAGAACATAAAATCTATATAGGCAAAAAAGTTTGCTTCAAATATGGTCTGTAATGGTATTCACATTTTTCTGGTGTTATTTTTGAAAGCAATTAACTCATGTGTGTAAGTGACTTTTGAAATACTTATTACTGAATTCTTAAAGGATGTTTTCTGCTTCTCAATTGCTCTCTGGGGCAAAACTTTAGGCTGACTGATTAGATAAAATGTTAAACATCTCACATAAAATAAATGGTGAATTCAGGAATTGAGCAAATATGTTTGACTTCTATTTTCCATTGAAATAGTTTTGAGTCATCTTACCGCATTTCTAAAATTGTAATCAACATCAATATAAAACATCAATACAGAACTCAACATAAAAAAATGGTTAAAACGTCATTAAAATTAAAGCTAGAGACATTACTTATTTTTAAATATTAAACTAGTAAAATGACACTTAAAAACAAATGCTAGTAATAATCATTTAATAACTCCCTATTATTAATAAATACTACATGAAGATTCTGAATGAAAAAATCTGAAGATGTACCCATGCTCATAACTGTAATAATCTTGTCCATATTCCTGGCCAGGATCAATTCCAGATTCCATGGATAATTCCTATTGTTCAAAAAGAGAAACTGTATTTGAAAGAAAATTCATATCATATTTCAGCTCAAAGTCAGGTTTTCACAAATAGAATTCAATGACTCTCAAAACACTCCTGCCAAAATAACTAATTACAAGTGTCAGTTAAAGATATTCAATTATTTTTTTCTAGCTGTAACTATTTTATACAAAATAAGATTATGTTAGACCTGTGGAGAAAAAACTACTTTTTCCTAAAGGTAAACCTGTTAAAAATTGCAGATGGGCATTTTCATTTGTTTTTGGATAACTTGTAAAATTGTTGATAAACACTTAATATTTAACACTATTTTTAATATTATCAACTGACTTTAGCCTTGAGGAAGATTATAACATTATTTTCAGCATTTTGTCCTCTTACCATTAATAGTTCTCTAGTACTAAGTGTTCTTCCCTTCATTACAACTGTTCTGATAAAATCATCTGACAATAATTTATACATTAATAAGAATTCAAGTTAATGTGTGATATCTTCCAAGGATATTTACATTTTAAAAAATATTGATAATTATAAATTTAAGGCTTTTTTTTTTAAAAAAGGATTTGTTAGAGTAGATGCCCTTTCAAGATTTTCAGTTCTAAACTCTAAAGAATACTGATTTTTGTCAAATTCAACTCTTGCAAAAATATTTTTTTTCTGAAACATACATATAAAAACAGCTTTCAATAATTATTAAGTGCAATTTCTTTACATTTCCCTTCTTTATTCTATTTTAACATGTTAATCAGGTTAAATGGCAAAGGTTAATCAAAGTGCTTTTGCAATTGAGTAAGAGAAGGGGGCAAAAGTATAGGTACCCTCAGGAAAATGGGTTGGTACTTATTTCTAAAATTTGCTATTTATAAGACTTAATTTTGTTGATCCAGGTATAATAATGAGTCAAGGGGAAAAAAGTACTCCTCAGAGGAAACAGATATATCATTTAGAAAGTGTGGAAATTCATAACCTGCATGATGGACATGAACAATGGCCTTCAGTTGTACTTAATTTGGCCAATATCATTTTAAGAATTGGAAATATTTGAATTTCTGTTGGCAAATTGAAATAGTTGCCAACAATTCTAATCAGAAAATTCCACCAAAAATCTGAATTTTGATTTATCTTGAAAAATAAAAACATGGCAACACTAGAATTATATTTCTACATGCCAAGAATCTAGTTGGTGGAACTACTCCTTAGAGAAAACATTTTCTATCCTAGTTACAAGAGTATCCCCAACTATACTGTTCTACATCTGTACCCATAGTCACCACAAAATCTGCTATCCACTGTTGTTTTGTATCTAATAAACTCCCTTCACTTACATTGCTTCCCTGGATCCTGTAGTTATTTAAATAAACAATAGCAAGTGTTGGCAGGGACATGGACCAACTAAAATTCTCATACACTTATGGAGAGATTATCAATTGGTAAACCCTTTAGAAAATGGCAGTAATACTAAAGTTACATATAGGCATACTCTTTTTCTTAGAAATTCAATTTATGGTTATATACCAAAGAGAAATATGTACATCTGTGCACAAAAATGCATTATTCATAACAGGCACAAATTGGAACGCTGAGACAAAGACACTATTCACATAACAACATAGAAGAATCTCCCGAACAGAATGATGAGCAAAAGAGGTAAGGTACAAATGAAACATACTATATTATTCTATTTATATAAACTCCAAATGCAAACTAATTAATGAGTGTGCTACAAGCCAGATGAGAGGTTGGGGAAGGGTAACTAATAGCTGAGTGTTGACTGGAAGGGTCTTCTGGAGAGCTAGAAGGGCATATGTACTCTGTAAAATTCATCTGGCTGTATGGCATGATTGGTACACTTGCTATGGGTGTAGGTTTTATTTCAACAACAACAACAAAAAAATTTCATCATAGGCATGTTGAAGGAAGGGTGGGAACAAGGTTGAGAAAGACCAGTAAGAAATTGGGACAAAGTTAAAGCCTAGATTTAAGTTATTCAACCTAAATGCTTTGAAAAAAACATAAATGTTTCATATTGGTAAGCTTACATTTTTGGGGTAACTAAAAGCCAATGTAGTGATATTGTTTTAAATGATGCAAATGGGTCTCAGAAGTAATACTTTTAAACTACTTGCCAAATGCGTGTTTAATCTAATAACATGCAGAGACTGAGAAAAAGACTTCAAATGGTTGTGAAGTGAAATTTTAATAACTTTCAGTTATAATAAAGAAGACAATAAAACATTCAAGTAAATATTTATAGATACAATGCAACTGAATGAGTTTCAGATATTAGAAGTCAGAATTGAAAACTTTTCTTTACAGACATACTTTTTTATTTTCCTAAAGAGAGAACAATGCTCTGCTCTTAGTAGCTACAATGTATACTTGGCATCAATTAGTTTAAAAATATAATAAGAAGGATAGAAGGGATAAGGATAGGAACCCAGGAAAACTCAGCAAGATTGTCCTTGATTCCATAGTCCCTCTATAGTTCTGAGTTGGGTAAGAAGGGATAGGGACTGGCAGAAGGGAATGAGGAAATGATCTGAAGGTGCCTATTGGATGCTTATCTCACACATGAATGAAGAGGAGAGCATCATCCCTTCAAAAAAAAAGAAGGACCTGGTGCCCCGTAAGATCCCTAAGTTGACCTAAGCAAACAATGTAATGCTGGCTCTTTTTGCTGCTCCACAGTCCCTCTTGACATCCCTTCAGTGGTGAATCCTAGATTTTAGAAAATCACACAAAGTAGCACACTAGTAGTGTAGATCAGTTAGTGTTACTTTTAATATTCACTTTTGGTGAACACATTGAGAAGACACAGAATTAACGTAGTGTCCTGTTATTATAAATACTTATACTGATGCAAACAAAAAACAATAGTAATTATCATTTATCGAATTTTTTTCTGCCACATTCCAGTTGAGCTGAGCTAGGAGCTTATATGTTAGATATTACTGCCAACATTTTATAGAAGATGAAATTGATGTTCAGGAGGATGCCTATTTTGATGAAGGCCTTGCATCCAATAATCGGCATTTGGATTTTAACCCCGAGTTTTCTGATTCAATAGTCTATGGAGCCCTCTCCACAAAAATTTTTGCTAAAAACTTTATAAAAGTTGAATATTCTTGACACCAAACTTCCAGATTTGGGGGAATAATTTCAAACCAAGAAATGCCTCTCTTTAACAAAGTTAGAATTCTGTTCTTAAGGAAAAGGAAAAGAAAAAGAAAAAAATTGCCAGTAGAGCTTATATAATACTAAAAAAAAATTTAAACTAGCATTACTTTATTTTTATTTTTTAATATCTAAGCAGTTATATAAACATAATAAATAAAATAATGTGAGTTTATTACATAACTCTGAGTATCTTTTCCACACTGCAGAAGAAAATGTCAAAAACGATTTGAACTAGACATATGTCCAAAGGCAGAATATTGAATCCCATGAAATAGTTCAGTACAGATGTTAATGTTCTTTCTTTAAGTGATGCATAATCAAGTCTGAGCTTAGGAATGGATTTGCTGAATCCAGATTCACTAAGACAAGTAACTACTGATCAGGTTCATTAATTATTTCATTCAATGATGTCTTGTTTTTACTAGGAACAAGGCCTTATTTGTCCAATTCCCAGAGAATGAAATTTGAAATTTGAGCCACCAGCACACAGTGGAAAGGTGACTTGTTTGTTTCTTTGTTCATTTCTTATTTTAATTTGAAGCACCTTTTTTCTCTTTTGTAAAATTATGCTACATTGGCAGATACCCACTCTGCCTACATGTAATATGGATCTTAGAGTGCCCCCCAAAAGTACTGTGAAGACTCAGTGAGGTTGAAAAGAAAATGAAAATTGATACCTCTGGTTTAAGAAGAGAGGGCCTCAGCAGTTGTTGTTGCTGCCAAAGGAAATTAAAATAGAAAAAGATTTAGAAAATAATTCAGATGGAAAAGGTAGATTGTGATTGAGAAGACAGAAAAAAAGACAACAGCTTAAAACTGGTTACCTTGGGATTCCGATTCATTACTTGTGTGATAGCTACCAAAAGCATTAAATAATATTTTGACTACTTCTGTATATTGAAACATAAAATAAGAATTCCCTTGTTTTAATTTCATCACTGTTTTAATTAATAGCAAATTTAATAGCCTTAATAAACAGGAATCTATAAGGATTCTTTTTGGTTTAAGCTTCATAGTACAAAAAATTATTTATGTTTCTAAAAGTACTTTAAGTGTCACACATTATTTTTAACAAGTTTAACCTTGTTTTATTTATTTATTTATTTTTGAGACAGAGTCTTACTCTGTTGCCCAGGCTAGAGTGCCGTGGCTTCAGCCTAGCTCACAGCAACCTCAAACTCCTGGGCTCAAGTGATCCTCCTGCCTCAGCCTACCGAGTAGTTGGGACTACAGGCATGCGTCACCATGCCTGGCTAATTTTTTCTATATATTTTTAGTTGGCCAATTAATTTCTTTCTATATTTAGTAGAGATGGAGTCTCACTCTTGCTCAGGCTGGTTTCAAACTCCTGACCTTGAGCGATCCTCTTGCCTCGGCCTCCCAGAGTGCTAGGATTCCAGGAATGAGCCACCACGCCTGGCCTAACCTTGTTTTAAATTGCCTCTCTTTTTTTCTCCCCAATCAATTTAAATATAATTAGGTTCATTGGGAAGAAGGGTAGAACATACAGAATGATATAGTTGTGATGTAGTAATCATATTTAAGACATCCTTCCATTCTTCCTTCTTCTTACCAAAATGTGGATTGCTTGCTCTAAAGCATTAAGGGTATTTTCAGAAAGTCTTTTGTGATTAGGAAAACTGTTCTTCTTCAGACTTGGTAGGGATTGCTTTCTACCTTTTCCTCCGTTCACCCATACTAATGTAAAGAAACAGTCTCTATTGGTCTGTTTCATGATAACTTTAACCAGCTGGGAACAAAATACACAATTCAAAACTTTGGGTTATCAACTCTCTGGGGTGAAATAGTTAAACACCACATATTTTAAAGTAAGCATTGGGAAGGTGTATAGAATGGTTCTGTGAGATAACTCCACCAAAGAATTGACTCTTTAATATGACCAGTAGAACAACTATTTGACTGAAGGGATAGACTTTTTAATGATACAGTTGTTAGTGAGTTAGTCTAATTATGATATTTATTTAAAGGGAAGGAAAGTTAAAGTTAGAGATATTCTGATTCAATCTGTTATCTGTTTTATTATCCCTGAAAACAACTTATTCATAGAGGCATTCAACTTGATTTCCACATAATTTAGGATTTATGTATTCTAAAGTATAAACCAACAGGTCATGTACTTATTAGGTTACAAACTTTTCTTGACTGAAAAGCTGTATGCTAAATCAAACTCTGTTCTCAGTGACTTCATTGATAACATCACTTACAATGTTGCAGTACAAATACTACTGGCCAGAATGCCCAGTGTGCTCTCTACAGACTGAGACTCAAATTAACACAATAGAAAATTCAGAGCTTTCTAATGGTCTGATTTTTTTTTTTAATATTTAAGATCCTAAGCCTTAATACAGAGATAGGAAGGAGATGTGAACTGGCAAAATTACCAAAGGTTAAGTAATCCTATGGTTTCTAAATTAGATTTATAGCCTTGAAGAAACAAATTTGGGGAATGTCACACAATATTGAATAACAGTAACTCAGGACAAAAGAAATTTATATTTAAAAAGGTAAACAGTTGATCTTTGTTCACTCACTGAATAATCGTGGATTTAAATCGCCAAAGCAGCAACATATATAAAAGAAAACAAATTCATAGCATACTTTTAAGTTTTTGTTGAAATGAAGGAAAATAATCTAGTTTCAAAAGAATATATATTAGTCTTGCCTATTAACACAAATCTTTTCCTAGTAAGCTTGATATAACACCATAAAGCCCTTACCTCTGATGTATAACCTCTCCTGCAAGGCAGAAATAAAGAAATCAGTATTAAACATCTTGGATTTTCAGATTAAATTATAGATCAGGGCTTTTTAAAAAAAATCTGAGCAAAACTCAGAATATAATTTTTAATGAAACTGTCTTAATGGGAAATACATTGTGGTATTATCAAAACAGGAGGATCATGGTTTCATGTCTGAATTTCTAAAATAATGAACAACCCAGACTCTGATTCCATATGAACAACAAAATATGAAAAATCTATATTATCTCAACAATGTATAACACAACTTGACTGTGTCATCAATCAGGATAAAAATTATTCTATATTATCTGTGTTCTACACAAATCTTGATACATATAAGGTACTCCTGAAGGAAAAGATGTGTTTACAACATGAAGAATGTGATAGAGCATGAAAAATTATCTCATGACTAGAATATGTTCTTCCAAATGATTGTAAGATTTCGTTTCTGATTATATTAACCTGATTCTAAAAATAATGAATGTAAAATATTGACTATCCTTGAAGGGGTAATTACATTATTAGAGATGAAGTGAAAAGTTATTAGAAATATAATAGGGCAAATATTAAATATTACCTAAAGATTTATAAAGTTCATGGACCACAAGTTGGTGAAATATTTGACTTTACATGAGAGAGGAAAAAGAGTATAGAGCTTCAAAGCTGAATGTCACTAATTATGAAAATTTTCTTTTTATTTTTCATTAAGCAGTTGACCTAAAGTAGTAAACTAATCTGTTCACATGTATGGAATAAATAAGCAAGTGTAATGAAGATTTATTACAAAGAGGTACATGTATAATTTTCTAAAGTCCAATGAAACAATCTGTAGAAAATTATTTTTAAAAGTCACAAGGCCTTCATAAGATAAGTAAGTCTACTTATTGGAAAGTATGCTAAGTGGTTAATGCATTGTACATTGAAACTGTTGGTAATAAAGTTAATACAATGGTTACTTATTCTCATCAACAATTTATTATTTAAAATGGTTCTATATTGAATTTTGAAGAGTATGGTTCTGCAAATATTTATGAGAAAGATAATCCTTCTAGAGTCTTTATAAATTTAGACATTTTCAACTTTTACCCAATTTCTATTTTTCAGAGATAAAGCAGAGGAAGCTCACATCTAGGTTTCAATAATGACAATTGATTAACATGTCTCAGAGAAAATACCCAACCAAAGCTAGACTACGTTCTAGAATAATTTAACTGACTCTTTTTATTAGCAATGCTTTCCGTAAATGTGGAAAATACAGTATCCATAGATAAACTATATTTTCCATTAACCTTTCTGTTGCTTTTTATTTAGTTATTTGTATTGCTTTTCTTAGCTCAAAGGCAGCAAGTTACTGGAAAGAGGTACACAACAGAATCACTATTTATAAATCTCTGTATGCTTTCAAAACATGATTATTGATTGATACTTACAAAACCAGTTCATATAATATTAATGCATCTTTTTATGCAGTTCATAATTAATGTATATTAATCACTTCATATCATTTATATGTATTATGGTTTACTTTTAACAACAAGGACTAATGTATGGCATTCTTGCTTATGTCTTTTAAATAAGGTGTCTAATCATTTTTTTAGCACATTAATTGGATCACATACAGAGGAAAAAAGAGTTCTTTTTCTAGAGGCTGATTGTCAGGTTGTAGGGAGTTAGGAGATGAGAAGAGGAAGAATATTTAGTCTTGTGTACTCAAATAATATTTAAAAGACTCATATAGGAGATATTTTTAACTGACTTTTATGATAAAGTCAGGAAATTCCAAATTTGTGGCAATAAAAGATGATTAAATATAAAACATGAGCATGGATGTTTCATTTGGAGAATACAGAATACTAATAAACCTTTTAGATCATACAAATATAGTTAAATGTTACAGAAAAAAGTAATGTACCAATTTAATAAGGCTATAGGTGACTTCACAAAAATATTATTTGGATTTCTTATAACATTTTTTGGGGCACTGCTTAGAGATTTCATTATCAAGGAATTCTAAGTTTCACATTTGCACGAAGTTGGTAGAAGTTAACTTAAAAACACACATTCACATTAAAGGCTTACACAATTGTGAATAATACCTTGTCAGAGTCCGCCAAATAGCACAAGTTCTCATGCATATGACCAGCTGCCAACAAAAACTCCAACTGAAGTTTTTCAGTGAAAGAGAGAAAAAAATCATGTTCAAGAACCCCAAGAAAGAAATTATTCTTGATTTGGATGAAAAGAATCTGAAGCAGATGGGCTAATAAAAATAATTAGACTTACTGTTTGCTTTGTATCTGATCTTATTAATTAGGAATACCAGATCAAAGTCTTGGAGAAATGTCACATAATAAAAAGGCTGAACAAAACCCTTAAAATGATGCACTGTAGGGCTCTCAAGGTACATTAATATAGTTAACACTGGTAATTAACAAATAAGACTTTTGTCTGTATTTTGGAATTATGCTTTTATGTTCTAAAAAATTAAAACTCTATGGAAAAAGTAAATAATAATAACTGAATTAAAAATAGGAATTTCCAGAAATAAAATTTATTCCATGTGGTTCATGGGAAAAACAAAGTAACTACTTGATGGTTACATATTACACATTATGTACTATTATATATATATGTATATATACATATATGCGGATATATATCTATTTATCTATTTATTTATATATATATTTATTTATTTGAGCTAGAATTGAGCTCACTGAGAGTGCAGGTTTCATTACACAGGTAGAAAGACATTACTTAATTTAGGTGATGCTGTTAAGAATTTAACAAGTTAAGCTCTAAGATACTAGAACAACTACTACAACTACAAAAATGTCTTCCCAGAGTATATATTTTTATCTTCTTTGTCCAAAACCAAGAGCAAATACCTATATAAAATTGTTAATTGTTCATCAAATATAATTCTTCCTGATTTTTATATTTAAACTTTTTATATTTAATTTATCAACCTGGAGATAAATATTTTCTTTAAAGAAGAATCTTATGATAAAATTATAATTAAGGAGATGATATAATAATGTGAACAAACAAAATTAAATAGCACTTTAAACATCTGTTAGAACAATGAAATGTCTTACGAAAGTCAACAACTCAAGATTTATTTTCATTATAAAGAAGGGAAGGGAAAGCACAATGAGAAATAAAATGAGACAGCAATTGAAAAAAGTAAAAAATTCTTCAAATCCATAAGCATACTAATAAGATAAAAGCAAGCCAGAGGAAAGGATGTTCTTATAAGAAAACAGATAATTGAATGTTATAGCACCTGGGAATTATTTTGGAATACCTTATGTCTGTCATCTGCCGTTATTTCTAAGTACATACCATTTTACTTTGGTAGTATTTCTTGTTACTAAATACATAGGCTTCAAGGTAATGACAAAACCTATGATATCACTCTTAGCTTGTTTATAACAGTTTGCTTTTTTCTTGGAACATTCATACAAAACTATGATTGAAAAGTAAATTTAAAAGTCACTACATCAACATGCTAAACATGCTTTTGGTTTAAGTTAGATATCTAACGTTCATGCCCACATGTTCCCATTAAAAAATACATTAAAATTACTTACTTTTTAAATAAATGTAGGACAAATAATACTACTTTGTAGTTTAAAAATAAGGTAAATCTACTATATGAGTTAGTAGTGGTGAGGTTAATAATTTTTTAAAGTAAAAAAGAGGAAAAACTGCATTGCATTGAGTTTGGGTTAAAATAATAGAATCTTCTTTGATGTTCAAATTTGATGTTCAACTTGGAGATTAAAATCAACAAAAGACTTGCTCAATTAAAATAAGAAAAGCCACATTACAGTGAAGTAGATTGACTTTGAGATTGTTTTTCAATTCCCTCATCAATAATGTTCGAATTCTCCTGGTTTTGTTCAGATGTGATTTCAAGATTTGTTATCTCTGAAGGGCAAATAGTTTGAAATTCTGAGATGTTTGTGAGTGGATAGTTTTTTTTTATTTGATTGTACATGTTAGCAACTGTCTTTTCAAGTTCTGCTAAATTTTCAATATGTTTGAGGATTCCCTTTGGTTCTCTTTGAGGGTCTGCATTGTGCCCTGTTGTTGATGCTGACAGCTGAGTCACAGAGGATTTAATTTCCTCGGCAGGAGTCTTGTCGGTAGTGCATTTATCGACTGGCATACAAACACATTCTGTGGCTAGAAATGAAGCTGAAGAAGGCAGTGGACAAGGAAGAGGAAGAGGAAGAGGTGGTGGAGGAAGAGTTGGAAGTGAAGGTAGAGGAGGAGGAGTAGGTGGAGCAGAAGTAGGAATAGAAAGTGGAAATGGCGGAGGATGAGGAAAAGGAGGAAGGAGAATAAGAGGACGAGAAGGAGGACAGGAAAGAGAAAAAGGAGTAAGGTCAAGAGGAGGAGGAGGACGAGATGGAAGAGGAATAAAAGGAAGAACAGGAGGAGGAGGAGAGGGAGAGGGAGGAGAAGAAGAAGGAAGATGGGAAAACTTTTCAAAAATGTTCTTTTTGGTTTCAACAGCTAACATACAGGCAGGTGTCTCTCCCTGAATGAGTGAAGAATTTAAAATACAAGGAGGAGAAAGTTCCAAAGAACTATCAGCAGGAGAGGTGATGACGTTAGGTTCTGACTTGAGTTCCACAGTTCTTGAAACAGTTGGCAAAGTGGAGAGTGAGAAGTGAGAGCTAGGAGAGCAAAATGAAGAGTCTGCAGAGAGAGATTTCAACTCTTTTGTTCCCGTTATAATCAATGTTTCATCTTGCCTTTTTTCCTCTTTCTCTGTCAAATTTGTGTCTTCAGTTGTAAGCAATGGATTGCTGCTACCTCTTTTGTATGGATAGGTTCCAGTGCTTTCATTTTCAGCTTTCTGTCTGGTGCTTTGCCATTGCTGCAGATCTATGATTTCTGGTCTATCTGGAACTTTCCTCATCAGTCTCTTAGGTAAGCTGACTGGCTGACTCCACAGCCTCTGAATCTTTTCCCTTGGGCCCCTCAGAGACTCACTCTTGGCTTGTGTTTTGGGTAAAAATGGGTCTACAAAATCTGTCTTTAGTGAAAAGCCTGAATTTGATGATGTTTGATCTATATTTTCCTTATAAAGGAGATTATGGGTACACAAGGCATCCTCATCAGATGGAAATGTGAATTTTCTTGCAGACCTTGGTTGGTTCTTAAGTGATTCGTCTATAGGAGGTGACTTGTGAGCCTCAACAGTATTGGAAGAAAAGGGCATCCCAACTTGTTGATGTTTCCTGTCTTCTGAGATTGAGTTATTTCCCCTGCTTTGTTGAAAATGGTAGAGAAGGAAAAGACTTGAAAGAAAAGAAGATAATGAAATGTAAGGAAACAAGTTGTGACATAGCTTTCATGAGAAAGATGTTTTTATGGTTCTTATTACTACTTCAAAATGTAAAGGCTAAAACCACTAATCTACTAAAGCAAGGCACTACTTTAAAGTTCCTATTCCCAAAAGACAGGGCAGGAAAATCTTGAGAGTTTTGAATAGAATAAGACATTTTCATTAAAAAATGTCAATTTCTACATTTGCTTTTGTTTTTTTGGTTATTTTGAATACAGCAAAGAATCCATGTCTACACATAACAGATCACTCATGTATAAATCACAGTTCTTCAAAGTGCAGACCAGCCTCTCCTTTCATATCCTTTGCCTTACTTAAGGATGTTCAGAGCTGACTGTTATGCATAAAGGATCCTTAGCTGTATCTGATTCAGTACCTGTATATTATCTCTCATTTCCGTAATATTGTCCTAGAGCTAAAAGTACTCTCCTGAGAGAAAATTTGTAAGAGAATACAGAAAAGGATATCTTATTCTGCAGATTAAGAGAGTTAAAGTCCCTAAGGACAGATAGGAAAGTTTTTTTGTTTTTGTTTTTTTTTCCGCCAAGTTCAAAATCACAATTGAGAAAGTGAATTTATGCTAGAATTTTGACAAAAACTATTGTCTTCTGTTTAAATTGTATGCATAGTTAGTTTTAAAATATTATAAATAATACCAGTCAGAAGAGAAGTTGTTGGTATTTCCTTTAATTATGATCCAGATCAAGTTTTAATCAAGACTCACCTTAATGTAAAGATTTATGTTAAAATAAAATGGTTTTGATATCCCCGAAAGATTTACTTGTGCTTGGATACTATCATAGGTGGCGGTGAGTCATAAAGTTGAATACGTCAAAGAGCACAAATTAAGTGCCTCTTACAAAAGCATTTGTACTCTTCTCCCAGAAAGGTTGGGGGATATGTGGTTTTAAATAATCTCTCATGAGGTTTTATTCTCAAGCCCAAACAGAATAACATTATGTAGTTACTGTTTAATATTTATCCACCCATCAGGAATGAAATAAAATGAAATATTTTGAATAAAAATTAAATAACCACATTGAAAAATTAGAGTGATAGGTTAGACAATAAAATGATATATAAAGCCAAAATTATTAATGTGTTATTTGGCTAAGATTCAAACTGTATGAAAGAATCTTCACAGATGGACCTACAATATCAAGCCTACTTGAATAATTCAGAAAGTGCAGACAATTTGGATTAAACAGAGAACAAACAGTTTTACCTTTCCTGGCCTTTAAACAATTATTTTAAAAATATGGCAAGAACCACTGGGCTTGTTATTACCTGGCCATTGTTCTTGTGTAGATCTGTTCTTGGTTTGATTTTTCTTGGAAAAAAAATGATTGCTATAATGATATCATATCACTTTTGATTGAGAGAAATCTATAAATATTTTAATTTCTTAAAATTAAAAATTAACTTTTAAAAACTTTACATTAAAAAATATAAAACAGGAGAATTTTGAAATACCTCTCAGTAAGCACAAGTACTATCATTGAGAATACTCGTTTTAAGCTCATGCCATTTCAAGACATCAAAAGGAAATTGAGTGTGGAAGATAAAAATTTCCTTTTAAAAGTAAATGACTGCATGGTAAAAGATGAAAATCACTGTATACACAGTAAAACAGCACTTAATCTATTCTACTGCATCTTTTTTTTCTAATGTTCTTCTATTAGAGTGATATTATTTACTTACTTATGCCTATGTATCCACAGGTGAGAAAGAGAAAACATGTGATAGAAAAAGAAAAGTTTTAACTATGGTTAATTTAAAACAATTATGAAAATACTAACAGGAACTTTCTTTAAACACTTACTATGCATATCCAAAAAGGAAAATAAAAGTTTTTATATTTGCTATGTGTTTATTCATAATAATGACATTTAATATTGTTTTAGATAAAATCAAATGGCATTTATTTGGTGTCTTATATAAAATTATATTTAACCATCTACTTACTATTTACACACAGGTAAAATTCACTTCTATTAAACATGGATGATTTCAATTACAAACTTTAAAGATAGAAATAAAAATTTTAAATTAAATTCTAATAACTGCCTCTATGACATAACTAAAAAATTGATTAGTGCACACTGATTTATAAAAAAAGATATATTTTGTGGGAAGAAAATAAATATATAGGTACTATGAAAATTGTTACAAAGTCATTATTGGATCCATGTGAAGTTATTATTTGTAAAGTTTTCTTCAAAATGACCTTTTAAAAAATAATTGACAATAATTCATTTGGAGCTAGTTCATTTTCTAGTAACTTATTAAAATTACTGAAAAAGCTTTGGAAGAGATAAGTTAAACATTTCCTGAAGATAAAATAATTAAATGTGCATAACTTAAAATATTTCAACAAATACACCTATTACAATTGCAAAATCTTCTACTAAGTCTACTACAATTGTTCAAGTAAAAATACCACCATTAAACTATGTTGATTCCAGATAGTGTTACAGTATACCTGCTTTTATTAAATTAAAATGAGTATATATCATTCATTAATTTAATATATGAACGTACTACTCATAATGCTTTTTTAGTTTCTAAAGATCTTTGCTTGAGAAAGGTGGTTAGCATAATCAAATAGAATCAAATCATATTAGCTCAATTCCTACATTCACCAATAATTCAAAAAGAGACCATCATTTTCTACTTATAAAAAAAAAGAAAAAGTATATTTAAAACATGAATCCTGTATTATGTTATTATTTTGGAAATAGAATGTCATGTTTTAAGCTATTTTAAATTCAGTTTTGTGTTAAAACAATAGCATTAAAATCAATTTTGACAGTATTAAAAATATTCTAAACATAACCTTGTATATTATTATTAATATTGCCAATAAGATTAATACATCTATTTAAAACCAGTTTTCCCATAAATGGTGTATTTCATGATTTCTGATGCTTGGTTTATTCCTACTAGTAAATGCTACAAATGTCACATGTAAGAATTTGTTTTAGTCTCTCTACTCTACCAAATTCCAGTTAATAAAAGGTTCTCTAGATTTTACTGCCATATTCAAAATTGTATAATATTCTCTGTCATTTAACATAGCATATTAAGTAGAAATTTGTCTAAATATACACAAATTAAACATCACCCAAAAGAATCAGATTATAAGGGTAGCACCATTATAGAAACAGCTGTGATTTCTTTTAACAATAAGCTGTTTCTTTCAAAAATATATGGTTTAAAATTACTTAGGAATTACAAATAATGTAGGAGAAAAATTAAGTAATCATAGCAGTCTAAGAGTAATATAATGGAAAGGATGTTCTCTAAGTAGTTGGGCATTTAATACATGATTATTTTCACTCAGATTTTAATTACTATATTGCATAATGTCCTAAAATGGTGTCTTGGAAGTCTAGGATTTTAAACCATAGAATTTGGCTTTGAATACTAAATAGGAGTTGGTTTGATAACAAATCAGGAATTACTACTTTATGATTGGGTTTTATTGTTCTTCTCTCCCATGTGAAAACATTTTTTTTCCGTAATCTATAATTTTAGGTAAAAAGTCTACATGACCCTGAAAACTTAGAGAGCAAATACAATATCAAAGCTATAAATCTGTATTGTCTCCTGAAGTTGAATATTGCCTTTATCTAACTTGGTTTTCTTTTTTGTTTGTTCGTTTGTGTTTTGACTATTATTTTTCACTTAACTTTTCTTAGGTTCTCAACAAATTTCCCTTTAAAATAATAGAATAGAATAGTCCAAGCAGGCTGAAAGCTGCATTTCCACATCAGGTTGAAATTAAATACTCACCACATAGCATCCACTAAAAGCCATCTACTTCTCAAAGCTCCCGGAAAGTCTACTTACATTGTGCTGTCTCCGAGCTCTTCGTAGAGATGCGCCCCCGGAGGCGGCGGCGGGGGCGGGGGCGCTGCCACAGGTGCAGGGGCGGGCGCTGCTGGTTTAGCCGCGGGTAAAGCGGATTGAATTCGTGCAGTCTTGGTGCACTCAGCCTGGCGTCTTGGGTAAAGCAAGGATGTCATGTAAAACTCATTTTAGAAATCATATGCTTGTCAATAGGCTACCTTTTAATAATGAGGTCCAGTTATCAGAAGATGCCACTTAAAAAAATATTTTACACAAATGTGTGCATTTATAAACTGACATAATTACAAAAGCATCCTCACAGGGTATTATTTACATATAACCTCCACGCCCCCCCCCACTTAGTTCTTTATTATTTACCCCTTGGGTAAGGGGTAGAATTCAGTAGAAATATTTGCAAATTACATAAAATGATAATATTAAAGGGGGAAGGCTAAATATTTATAAAAATGTGATGGGTAGTTGATAGTTGTTTAATGAATCTCTTTCATAAGATGAGGCATTCAAAAAACAAATAGTTTTTCTTTACAATTTGTATGTTTAAAGGAAAGTTACTTTATTTAAAATGAATACAGTGTGTTATATGTATACCATGGAGTTCTACTCAGCCACACAAAACAATGGTGATCTAGCACCTCTTGTATTATCCTGGATAGAACTGGAGCCCATTCTGTTAAGTGAAGTATCACAAGACTGGAAAAACAAGCACCACAGTACTCACCATCAAATTGGTATTAACTGACTTAACTGACCAACAATTAAATGCACATACAGTAGTAACATTCATCGGGCAGGTGAGGGGGGCAGGAGGGGATGGGTATATTCACACCTAATGGGTGCAGTGAGCACCATCTGGGGGATGGACACACTTGGTGTTTGACTCAGGTGGGGCAAAGGCACTATATGTTACCTAAACATTTGTACCCTGGTAATAGGCTGAAATAAAAAAAAAAAAAAGAAGACTGATTTGAAACCTTTTTGACATTATTTCACAGAGGCTGTATTAATGTGCACATGTAGAAGGGAGATTGGGTTAGCTTTCATGTCCTTTTTATCCCTAGGAACACCTGTGACTCTCATATTAGAACTAGGCTACTATTTTTGGATGTTCTGAACAATGATGGTTAATGTCTTCCTTAAAACTAGATTTCAAAGGGTGGAAGATATGAGCAAACTGGTTTTCACATTTATTCCAATGTGTGACTATCTCTTACACCAAAAAGTATACAACTATTGCAAATGCAAAACAAATAAATAATATGTGGTTCTGGTCAGGTTGACTACTTGATCAACATAGTCTAGGTTTTTCTTTTTTGCATTACATAAAAATGATGTATAAAATATTAGTAATTATACTTACACTTTAAACCTGTTTGGGAAAGCAATGAGTAAGAAAAAAGAGAAAGCTACATTAGAAATATTACATTCATAATACTTTAACATCTGATTTATTCTAAATATAAATAATTTACTGGTTAAACTCACAATGACACAGAGTTAATTTAATGACATAGTAAGGAAACTATTTCAATTCAGAAGGTGAAAATAGTGAGTACTTTATTATTACCATTAAAGTCATTCATGCTGTTAAAACATTAACTACGGAAAATAAAGAAATGAACTACACGGAATAAGAAAAACTGGATTAAAACATGAGTATGTGAATTTCAACTCTAATAGAAAAATGGAGTATTAAAGATGATCTGATCTTAATAATTGGTTTCTTGGTTTACTCTGCTTGAAGAATATTAAGGGAATGAAGTTACGCAGCAAGCCCTGATTATACTCTGGGCTTCATTTTGAAGCCGAAGATAGAATTGGAAGGTCCTACTGCTGAGTAATAAATTCCTAAAACTGTTTTTCATATTTGCTTCTTAGTTTTCCATTCATGGCAAATTTCAAAGACACATGATAATATAAAATAATAGCTATCCATTCCTATCTTATTTATAAGCAGAATATGAAGGTACAAATGTCAGTTCTTTAAATATTAGGATTTTCATTTACTATATGAGCAGAGCAAAACTCTTTTTGTTTAATTCTGTTAATCTATGACAAGCAGTAACTAAAATAATTTCCTAGGGCATTGAGCTGATTATCAAACTAAAAGAGAGTTAAATAATGTATCTACAAAATGTTTAAATATTAAGCATCTTAATTTTTTGTTAAATTTCAGACTACTGTGTATAATACCCAGGGTGCTTCCGTTTTGATCATTGCATAGTGTGCCAAATATAAGAAATTTTCTCACTGATTTTATTGCTAGAAAGATATATTAAAGCTCTTTTTGGATCCAGTTAAATGGAAAAGGATAACTGGTAGTACAGAATAGATTTAACATGAAAATTAGTATTGGGCTGATCGGTTAATAATTTAAAACAATTTGTCCACTATTAAGTTTGTTCATAGGGTTTTGATTTAGCATATCAATTGATTTGGTAAGGATATATTAAGCTCCAATATATCAACCTAAATGTTATATTTACAACTTCACATTGCTTTTGTGATGGAAAATACAATGTCTTCATGCAGAGCACACTTTTAGATTTTCAAGTTGGAATTATCTCAGCTTATTCAATAGAAAAAAAAAAACTTTTTCAGTGTTTGAGAACAAAGATAACCGTTTAAGGATATACAAGGTTGAATGTCATGCTGTACTATAATAAAAATAAAATAAAAGAATATATAAGGAATATTTTAGTACGTTCCCTGTAGGTATTTTAAATGATGAATAGCAATTCTACCACCATTTCTTACTGTTTGTTACATCAAGTAATTGATGTGATCTATGATTTCTGTCATTTATTTTATTTTTGCGGCACACTCAGTGCTACCTGTCTTCTTAACCAGCTCTTCAGGTTTTTCAAATTATTGTCAATAAGGATATATTTAAAAAGTATAGCCCTCTATCACAAAGTTTCCCCATACTGAGTGTCAAATAAAAATACATTACTAGCCTACCTCGAATATAGATATTGAAATTAGTTATAATTAGTTGACTACTTTAAAGGATATAAACACAATAAAAATTATAGACATTGTAAATGGATTTATTTGACTATAGGAACCAGAAAAGCTAAGGGCTGCACAGCCAAAATGTGGTGTCAAACATAATAACACAAGTTCTGACAAGGCTATCAAAGAAGGAAGAAGCCACAAGAAAAATGGCATATTGTGTGCTATGATTTTCAACGGTTTTGCTAACATTGTGATCATCTGCACAGAGGTAAATTTAACAGTATGGGTAAAAACCTATCATGACAAAGTAGTGAAGTCATAGACCCCCCTTTGGGACTGGGCAAAGTGGGCATCTGTACCACATTCCATTCTTTTGTCCTCAGGATACCTACTACTTTTTCTCCCAAAGGAGCTCTTCACCTAAATAAGGGTGTAAAGAATGTCACAGGAGCTAAACTAATATTCCTGTTGGACGAGAACATATTAGGAATACCGGAATGTCGAGCCTTCTGTGAAAAACATATTAGGAGTTTGTATTGCTTTCCCTTTGAAGAAGATGATTTAGTACAAGAAGGATAAAGCAATCCCAGAAGTGGTTGCACCATCAATATTTTACAATCACAAAACTCTGTTACCAGATATGGTTTTCAACAATGCCTTCCTGAGGAAATATTCACGTTTTTGGAATACTTACTGTCTGTAGCTGACCAAAACTACCAAGATGGCAGGAATGCAGCAGAGGATGATGATGAAAGCCAGAGCCAGCAAGGCCCCTTCTGTGTATCCTAGACTTTCTCCTCTCTTTTTAATGCTGGTCACTGCCTCTGGAGTCCGGATCTCCAGGATACGTCCTCCTTCCCCATAATGCGGCTGAAAGTCTTTATTGATATCGAGCAGTTTGCCATCCAAAAATCTTTATTGTTAGATAAATGGTAAAATTAATAATCTTAATAGAGAAAGATCTTTCTTTAAAAAATAAAATCATTTCTGTAAAATCTTTTAATATTTTTAATTGAAATACAAGCTGAGTCAGAAGACTTATGAATAAATAAAGTGTATATAAAAAGCATGAGCAATAAAGAAGAATAACTACATATCTGTATATAAATTTCAAAAATATTTAAAAACATGACCCTTGCTTAATGTGCTTACAGACTTGAGAAAACTATCAATATCATTAAACTTAATATCACTATGTTGAAATAATTTACATTATCAAGTTTTTCAATATATAAATTTTTTCAATATAAAATTATATTCACACATCTTATTTCTTTGGATCCTCAGAATAATCCTATAAACATAGAATATTACAATATTCTAATTTATTTCAGGCCACAAAGCTTTATACGTATAAAAACAAATCTGACATGCCCAACCTAAGTCTTCAGATTCAGCCTTTCCACAACACCCATCTTAAATGTCAACACTTTCAAATCTCAAACCAAAACAATGTTTTATGAGCAGTGTGAATAAATTAAAAGGTTTTTCTGTCTAGGAAAAAAAAGACTAAATAAATGATGCAGGTAGTATATCAGTGTAGTCAAAAAGACAAGAACTGATAGTCAATTTAATCCCTTAGTTCTTAAAAATCTTTCCCCTAACTAATGCAATTCCAAACATGAGTATTGCACTGAGGAGGAAAATCAAGGAATAATTGTTAATATTATTAGATAGAAATTTTATTATTGATATTTATTAACAATAATTTTATTATCAATAATATTATTAATATTATTAGATAGAACATTAAAAATATTTCATATTGTGATTAGCAGGTAAATTTTTTTCAAAATTCTATGGGAACTTTTAAACAGTCTCCCGTAAATCCTGCATATTGATGAGACTATTGTGTTTATAATACAAGAAAACCACAATATATCTTAGTTGTTTTTCTTTGTAAATTTTTTATTATTTTTATTTATAAAGGTCAAATGTCTTACTATAGAAAACTGAAGAGCACAAAGTAGTTCAAGAAAAGCAAAATTACTCATAGGTTCCTGAAATAACCATAATCACTGCTAACATCTGGTATACTCAAGGCTAATCTTTCTTGGAGGGAGAATATTAGTGAATATTTTATTTATTAATATCATATATATTTATAATTACATAGCTATACAAATTAAAAATATTATTTTTAAAGCATATGTCTTGATATACAAATGCTTATGTTCAAAAATGTAAAAAACATAAAGAAATGCAAAGAGAAAATAAAAATGATCAAAATTTCACTATCAAAATATAACCAATGTCATGTCTGTGCATCTTTTATAATCTATTTTATTCGTTTTTGAAATTTTCTAATATTCAGAGTGATCATGATGATTTTAAATCTAGTTAGCACACTGTTGATATCTTACTTATAGAAAAGATAAAAGTGCCTGATATTCAATATGAATTCCACTGGGCAGTTTATTAGTTATCCAATTTAAGAAACCCAGTGGCCCCGATAATTCAATTTTGATTTTAAAGCTACATATTTTTAAATCTAAATTTTCATATACATCATAAGGCAGTTAGGATGCTGTTTTCCTACAAATATACTTTTGTAGATTAAAAATGTATTGTTATAAGAATTTTCCTTGATCATTTTTAGTCATATTAAAAAACATAATGACGGTTCAGCAATTTTAACAAGTACTAGAATAAAATAGTAAAACTTTTTTGTTTGAATTGTTGATCAGAAAAAGGAAGAGATTTCTAAATCAAATATAGATTAAGAATTGTTTGACAAGAAAAATATTATTAGAACTGGGAAGAATCTGAATCAGAGGACAACCATTAATTGCATGGAAAAATATACCCCTGCTATGTGGAATTCACTTGATAGATTACAATTTTATTGTATTTCTGCATTTCATGTCTAAACCATCTAATGGAAGATCTGCTAGTCTTTTAAAACTATAACAACACCCCTTATTTAGATATTTATTTATTTTATTTAAACTGAAGTGATGTCATAAGTAATTGTTTTACTTTACAGAGTGGATATCTTTTGAGCCCACATCTGATCTAGAATATCTTTCTTTAAAAGAAAGAATATCCCTCTTTTGAAGTTTTTACATTTAAAGCAACTTGCCTACATAAAAATTCTTTAGTCATAACATTTTCCTTAAAATACAGTGAATCTGGTTCCATTGCCTTTTGGCATTTTATATGCAAATGAGACGTGTAGTGCTTACTTTTTTCTTTATGAGTAAGTCATTGTTATTTCTGTTTCAATAATTTTTAAACATATTCAGATATTATTGAAGGAAACATGATCACTTTTTCATTTATTTTGCCTCTAACATAATGACCTCTTTAATTATATTTCAGCATGTTTTTCTTGCTATAAATACTACATTTTGTACCTCAGAAATATCTGTAATTATCAGAATGTATCTTAATTGCCCATAAATATATTTTGATCTCTTTTTTAAATATTTTTTCTTTTCCTTATAGTGTGTGAGTTTTTATGTATATTAAATACTTCATGTTGTCAATTTAATTTTCAAATGTCTTCTTTCAGACAAGGTTGAATCTAGGTGCTCAGTTGATTTTAGGAGATTGTTTTTGTGAGGTAAAATGTTGGCCCTGAGAACCTTCAGGCTCTTTCATTGTGCAAGAATAGGAAGTAATCAGCTAAGGCTGGGGCACAGGCACAACCACTGTGCAATTTCCCCAACTTTCTTCTCATATGAAACAAGAGCCTTAAGTAGTAGAGAGAGGGGAAGTAAGTGTAACCATCCCTGGAGGGTAGGCAAAGGTCCACTGCTCTGGGAAGAGAAATAAGCAAAACTAATTTACACCTGTAGGAGGAGCAAGAGGTCCTCTTGGGCCTAAGATCCTGCGCCAGTAGAAAGATGAGATCTACTACTCATTGGAAAGGAGCAGGAGTCTCTCTTGCACCCATGATCCACCGCAAATATGACGCAGAGTATGGCTGCCATGGCAAGGAGGGAAAGATGCACTCAGAAAGCCCACCCAAGGCTTAAATACACAGGCTTGGCAAGGAGAACAGTTGAAACCCCTAGCCCATGCCTCTTAACCTCACCATAAGAGCAGAGCCAAGCAACAGGCAAGAGCAGTCTACCATGGGAGAGACAGGAGTGTGGGGAGAAACCCCTTCTGTGGCACAGGCATGTAGGGAACCCTGAGAGCTGAGGGTTGAACAAGAAGACCAAGAAAACCTTATAGCACCCCAGCTTCTAAGAATGAGATGACAGCAATTCACTAAGAGAAGAATTTGAAGCTGTGGCACAGTGAAAGTAATAATTGCAACAACAAAATCCCAAAGTAACTTTGAATAGATTTACTCATCAGAAGACATCTATTCATTTACAGGAATAAACTCTATTTTTGTTCTTCCACACTATGTCTGACACTCAATCAAGGAAGATACAAAAAGGCCACTAGATTAAATCAACCTGTTTTCAGGAAATAAGAAAGTAACAGAACCAGACAGAGATAACTCAGATATTGGAACTGTCACACAGGAACTTTAATATAACTCTGATTAATACATTACAGAATCTAGTAGAAAGTGGAAAACATGCCTGAAGCAATCGGGAAATATGGTGGTGGAGGTGATAAGAAAGAATCCAATGAAAATCCTAGAAATTTCTATTTTAAAAGACAGTAAGATGAATAATTTCTTCAATGAGCTCATCAATAGGTTAACACAGATGAATCAGTGAATGTTAAAATAGGGCAATAAAAAGAGAAAATGGGGCATAATAAATATTTGAAGAGATAATGTCTGAAAATATTCTAGAAAGAAAAATAATTAAGAAAACAAAGACAAATGAACAAACACAAATGTGGATCCAGTAAGTTGAGAACCACAAGGAACATAAAAGTAGGATAAAAGTAATATATAACTATGACAGAAGTCTAAGCAATTCAGATAACCAAAAATAAGAAAAATAAAAATACCAATAAGTTTGCCAAATGAAGTTATTAACATCGTTAAAAGTCATTCTAGTCTCTTCTATGCATTTATGAGCTTTTTTTTGATATTTTAAATCCATTTTTAAATCACTCTAAAATTCCTAGAGTAATTATTATTATTATTATTATTGGTCTCTGGCCTGAGAATTCTGACATCCACAGAAGCTTAGAATTTAGAATAAGTAGAAATTGAGAAAATAACCCTACCCACTAGCCTGGGCATTGGCAACAATCTCAAAGTTCTGGTATATTTGTTCAATGTTAAAAGCTAAATTTCAATAATTTTGATAGCTACATAATAAATACTAATACCTGTACATTATTAGCCTTGTATTTTATACACACACATACATATGCATATACACACACATATATATAATTTTATTATAGAACGTTTCAAGGGACAATTCTAGGGTTTAGAACAGATCAGTGATTCTCTGCTACTAGCTCAAGGTGAAGACTGCTAAAGCAAAATTTTAATTCTCTATACTTACTTCTATCCTCTCCTTAATATAAGCAATTTTGATTATTAGATAGTCTCTCTTCTTCCCCTTCCCTCCTGGCTATAACACTTATTCTATTAAATTTAGATATTTACTCTTCACAATATAATTTAAATTTGGATAAATTTGTTTAGAATGAAGAATGTTGATCTTGTACTTCACTGTGTCAGTGGAAACCCAAGTGCCTTGTTTCCAAATATTTTATCCCTAAAATGTTTGCTAGTTCAATTCAAAATATAATCACAATCATTTTACTCTTTAAAGCCAGGATAACATCTTAAAGAAAACAGATATTTTCATATGTAGGAAAAACACCCTAAAGCTCAATCTATCATCAAATTTAAAAATAAAACCAATGTATGTAGAAAACACAGAATGCAGATAGATTTAAATTTAAAAAGATGTGTTAATACTGAGGATTAAGAGAAAATATACATGAGTGACTTTAAAAGTACATTTCTAAATAAACTTTTTAAATTCATAAAATATACAGTAGATCTAAATCTTACTTCGTTTGGATGGTGATTATAAAGCTGAGAAAAAGAGAGCTATTACTTTAGTCATCTGTATTTGCCCACAGTAATTAGTATACTGTCTTGCATATATATCAAAGACCTATTAAAAATAAGTCGATGCATCACATACTTAAAAATTATGGCTTTTAAAAAAACTAAGTTGATATTATTAAATCACTACTTTATTGTTGCTAAAATAAAAGCAGTGAAATTTTGTTGATGAACAGATTTAAATAAAACTATAGAATTTATGAGTGTTAATAAAAATGAATGAGTAGACATTTACTAAATAAAATGCACACTCATATATGGATATATATGTAAATTTGCATATGGATATATATTTACATACTGTCTAGAATGTACAGGCAAAAGAAAACTAAGTTCTGAAATCATGAAGTTTGGCATATATTAATATATGTATGTATGTGTATGTACAGATGAATATAAACTATCTAAACTATATACATATTATTATATATCAAATCTGTTTTATTTAGATGGAATTTCATTCCAAGAACCTGTTGGACACTAGGTGTCACTATACTAAAGCAAAATCTGTTACTAGATTTAAAAAAAAAAGGATTAAAGTATGCTAGAGTAACATCCAAGGGAAAATGTGTAACGGTATTTTGTTTTAGATTCTGCATTTTCTTTATTTTTAGGATTTATAACCCAAATATTTAGGTTCATACCAGAATGAACTATCACAAGCGGCAAGGACTTACATGGGGCAGATTATTCCCTAACCACCTCTAAGTCAAGAGAAAAATCAAATACTAGTTTTTGCTGATTCAATAGACCTGTGAGAAAGCTGGATTTCTTTGTAGAATGCAAGCCCACTGAAACTGTTGCAGGCAAACTGCTGTTTTAAGAACCTGTGCTTTCCTCCCAAATAGCCAGGGCCCTGGAGCAAGAGTGGGGAGCTGTGTGGAGAGGATCTCAAGAAGCTGTTCCTTACTCATAAGTATAACAGGCCCTATGACACCCATAAGAACAGCCCCTCTGCAGCCACTGTAGTCCATGCTTGGACCTGAAAACTTTTAGGCATGAGGACCTAGGTATTGTCTTAGAGTTTTTGCTCACACTTCCTTTTCAACACTAATTTGCTAGGTTTTAAACTTTCGGTATTTAAAGCCTTAAGTCAGAATTATCTGTGGGCGCTATCGTAATCACAGAGCTGTTAACAGACCACTAAAATTACTTACTTAAATAGTTCATTTCTGTCAATGGCTCTGTTGGTTTGGGGGTCAATTGCATAGACAGTCAAGTCACATTTGGTGTAATCTTCTAGGGAAAAGGCATCTCCATGTCGGCGAGCACCAATAGACTCCACCACAACCTTGGCACCAGGAATTTGCTCCTGAACATAGCGGTCCAAAATCCTATAAATCAAACAAAGTACAAACATGACATTTTGACGGGCTTGCTGGGCAAAAAAAAAAAAAAAAAATACCTTCAACTTGAAATGACATTTAGTAAATGAAAAATGATAACAGCCTGGTTTTTGTTAATGTTTACTGAATATAAACTCTTGAAAAAATTCTCTATATTTTTTCAGTATTTAGCTCCCAATAATGCTGCAAGCTAAATAAGGTAGAAAAGGTCATCAACCATGTCCTATTTAAGTTTAGAGTTTTTGAATTTATGATACCATTTGAGCTTTTATGTGGCTCATGGGAAATGCTAAATACACTTTAAAAATAAAGCTGTCTATGTTTTATAGGAGTCATGGAATCTGAGAACTCTTGATTTCATATGATTGTTGTCATAAATTACACCTCTCACCAGAGTTTGTAATATATGCCACATAGCTAGATGCTAAGGTGTAGGACAAGGATGCCTGCTTTCCTAAGGGTATGGAAATACTTAGAGCATTATAGCAAGGGAAGATGTAGAGATATTTTGCAATGGCGGGTTTACTAGATAAAGACAAAAATATGGCATACAAATCTCAGATGCTATATAGGTGAATACAAACAACTTAAAAGTTATACCATATTGTATAGAATCAGTAATATTCAATAAAAAAAGAAAGAATATGAACTAACATCTGGAAAATATATTTTTTTCTAATCTTATAACTGGATTTTAATTGAAAGTACACATTATTATAAGTATTTATTTTCTGTGTTTCTATGGATGGTAATTTCCTTAATGTCTTGTTTCTTATTAAAAACTTTATTTTATCAACCTTAGAATGAATATTATTAAATTTTCACAAAAATTTAAATGTAAGTAAATCAATTTTAATTTATGTAAACTATACATGAAAAATATTTTAAAATTTATTTGTAGCTTCCATGCTCCTTTTGGAGTCCATACTTTGAGGTATTTTGGGGAATGAAGGGTAACATATTCTAAGGTTCTTTGACACAACAGAAAATAATTTTTGCTTCAGATCCCCAAATTGACCCATTTTCTGCTCTATGAAAAATATGTTGCCTTAAGAATTTGGTATGTGCTTGGTTTGCCTTTGTTACAAGAACAATGACAATACTAAACTTCGGAGGATATGACTACATTCGTTCAGTAATGTCAGGGGACACTGCTGATGACAGTGACATGTTTCATTTGGTTGTTTGTTTTTAAGTTTTTATACATCAGCACAGATGAAGGCTGTCTTACTGGAGTACTATTCATTCTTTGCCATTTTTCTCACCAACCAATGCCCACTAGTCTCTCTGCCTTACAGTTTCTTTTTGATGATATCCTTGAAGAATAAAGAAAAGATGATGTGGAAAAAAGAAGTAAATGTACTCAGCAAATGCCAGTTAATAATTGAATGCAGCCTTTCTGGGAAACTGAAAAGAATGGATGTACTGGGAGACATAGGCCTGGCCTAACATCATTCAGCCTGTGTTTCAGGATTCTCCTGAGAGGCTCATGCTCACTTAACAAAAATAAGAGAGGCCTCAGAGTCAAACCACATTACCCTCTTGACATTTTATAGGAGCCACACACAGTAATATAGCATTGAAGAGCACAGAGGTTTGGCTTCAGTTTTCAATTCCCTTATTTATCAATTGCATACCTTAGACAAGTACTTTTAAGGCTTCAAAGTCTCAGTTTCCTAAAACATAAAATAAGGACATCATCTACCACATAGGGTTGTGTGTGCATTAAGTGAACTAAAGTTTAATTTTTGCACAGTTGTTAGCATATACTAACTGTTCCATTAAAATGATTATTATTTTTATTAATATTTATTTGGCTTAAATGTTTGCATTAATAAGCTTCCTTCTTGTTTCTAATTCATCAAATGCATTTATTAATAATTAATTTGTGGAATTATTAAAAAAGTGTATTTCTCACTAGTATTATTAGTTCACAAATCAAAAAATAAACAAATGTTGGTATATAGTTAAATACAATAGAGTAGGTAGGTGCCTCTTTGTTCCAATACTACAGTTGAACAGTTTATGACTTCTCTTATGACAGTGAATTTAAGCATTGATTTGATATGTTCCAAGAATATCCTTCCTGTATGCATAAATTAACTTTGTGCTATCCTTTAATGAAGAAACATGTCTATTAAGCCTTTGTCTTTTTCTATATTTCAGTACAATACTGCATACTCATATGTGACAAAAAGTTAGATGTGGAATGAAATATGACTATTAATTACTTTATGGTAGCAGGGAATCATAAATCAAGGAAGACTAAAAAATTTAAATTATGCCATTTAAAGCAAGCAATAATGTTTTCTCCCTGAACATTTTTTTCTTAAACTTTAGACATATTTTGGTATAAAATGTATTTTATGATGAATAGAAATGTGTCCTAATTTGAATTTCTCCTGTGTCTTTTTCTAATAAATATACTTAAAACTAAATTTACTGCTTTTTAAATGAGAACATAGATTGTAAAATCTATCTTTCCACTTATCTATATACTAAACATTTTCTGTTTTCATTACATATATGTATACAGATTTAATTACATAAATATATACACATATATATATGTGTGTGTTTGTGTGTATATATAGAGAGATTTGCAATGATGTTTATCTAAGCTGTAATATCTGTATTATACACACATACATACACAAAAATATCAATACAGATGTCTGTAACAATGTTTATATGATGCTTAGATTGAGGTGTATAATTTTGAGTTTACTTTTTTATAATTTTCTTTTTTATATATTATGTTGCTTGACTTTTTTATAATGGAAACAATAACAACAATATAATCATATTTTTGAAAAAACTCTTTAGATTCCTATTTACTTTTTTCCAACTTCTTTAGGAAAAAACTTTATATAAATCTATATTTTCATAGTTTGAAAATGTATGCATAGTTTCATAGTTTGAAAAATTAATTGGACTAAGAGCTGTCTAATAAAATTACAGCAGTATTCAGTTGGGTGTTAAGTAGAAAATTTTTCATTCATTCAGCAAATAATTACTGAATGTCTATTATGGGCTAGACACTATCCTAAACATATAGAATATATCAGTGAACAAAGATCTCTTACATTATAGAATTTACATTCTAATTGGGCAAGAGAAAGAATTGTCTTGCCTATTGTTTTATTGTTATGAAACAATAAAATTGGTAAGAGTGTTCAGAAAAAGCATCCTTGAGAAATTGTTATTTGAGCAAAAACTTTAGGGGACAATGTGTAATATCGATATTCTAGGAAAGAGTGTTCTAGGAAAAGGGAACTAAAATATTATTAAAGCTAACTGTGCTGATGTCCTGATACAGTGTATGGCCAGAGCAGATCACATGAGGACTTTTAGAATTGTAAGGGCATTACCTTTTGTTCTGAGTGAAATACGGATCCATTGCTGGGTTTTAAATGTTGAAGTAATATGATCTACCTTGTATTTAGAAGCACACTGGCCACTATGTTGAGAATAGGCTGAAGGGGGAGCCGAGAGTAGAATCAGGAAAACTAGTTAGTAAAGAGCTTATGTAGATGAAGGAGTTATTAAATGTTCAGCCTACTCAATAATTTGGAGGAGGAGAAGAAGCAACTTAATCCATTTATGAATTATATTATATTTTAGTCACATATAATCAAATTCTATGATATGGATCACTATTATGCCTAAATATATACCCATTTACAAGTAGTATAAATCTTATAAAATAAACCTAGAAATGCAATACTTAACTGAACACAAACTTACATTAATTATAGGTTGACCTAGATAGATACTGGGTTTGTGGTTCTTCATTTTGAAATAGGTCAATTTTTATAGATCCTTCTTTGTTTAAAAAAACATAAAGGAGAGACTGAAGCTTACAGACCAATTTAGAATGCTTTATCATCTTCCTTGAAGTGTATATCTAGACATAGATGGTTTTAAGAGAGGGCAAATCTTTTCAGAGTTCAAGCTGCTTTTTTTCTATCATCTTTTCCACTGAATACGGGGTAAGGATCCCTTCTATGCTTCATCTCAGATACCTTGAACCTTCTGAATTGTTTCCTTATAATGTCCAGTGATGTATTTGAGGAAAAGTTTTCATGGTGTTGGTGTTATGACAGTATTTTATAAAATATTATTAAAGCTGGCTAACGTTTGAAGAAAGTGGAAGTAATATATCATCACTTGGTACTATATACTGTTTCATGATGCTTTAGGTCTATAATGTGGAGAAAATGCATTCTAATACAAAAATGATAAAAAATAATAAAGCGAGAAGTATTTCTTGAATGCCATAAAAATCCCGAAAAGTGGGGGATTTTCCACTGTAGCCTGCACATGTCCTGGTTCCCACAGGTGTTCCTTCTCACCTGCCTTTGGTCTATCTGTTCCTCTGTGCTTCTCTTGATTACTCAAACTACCCAAACAATGACTGTTAACACATAAGAACAATTCTTCTGTTCTCAAAACTAGCTGTATTTCAGCCAACCCCTTCCTGTTGAAGTTCCATAAAACATTCTGCTCTTTTCCCAACATCCTTGGGAAACTTCCCGTCATGCCCTCCCATGTCTTGCATTTTCTAATAAAAACTTATTTTCTTCCACAATCGTTCTTCTTCCCCAGCTTTACTGAGGTATAACTGATATACAAAAATGCACATAATTAATGTATATGATTTAGTCAGTTTGGACAAATGTGTCAATTGTTGTTACTATCATCCAAATCAAGGTAATGAACATATCCATCACTTTCAAAAGTTTCCTTTTGTCCTTCTTATTTTTGTTTGTTTTTCTTTTGGTATGAACAATTTATATGAAATCTACCCTCTTAATACATTTTTAAGTACACAATGCCTTATTGTTAACTATAAGAACTACATTTTATAGCAGATCTTGTATAACTACAACTCATCTTGTATAACTATAACTTTATACTCATTGAACAACAAATCACCATATCTCCTTTCATCCCCTGGTAATCATCATTCTATTCTCTACTCTTAC